CGTGCGAGGATGTAGAAAGACGGACGCTTACCCGTGTATGCTGACCGCTTGCAAGGTCCACGCCAACCCCTCCAAGACGATGTCGACTCACCAAGAACGGAACATGCAGAGCAGAACAAAACAGAAAAAGGAACTCGGGAGAGTCAGTGACAGCTGAAGGGACAGGCTGGGCTCTGGACCCAGAAGGTGATTTTCAGTCTGGAGTTAACTCCATGTTCCGCCACATTCCCAGTCCTGTGTCAGGGGGTCATTGTTGTTATGTGCCGTCAAGTTGCTTGTGACTCATAGTGACTCTATGTACAACAGCCCTAAACCCTGCTCTGTCCTGTGCCAGTCGCACTGTCTCCGATATACCCATCCCAATTGCCCCAGTCACTGAATCAGTCCACCTCATAGAGGGTCTTCCCCTCCTGTGACGTCCGTCCACTCTTCCAAGCATGATGTCCCTCTCCAAGGACCGGTCCCTCCTTGAAACATGTCCAAAGCATGTCAGACGAAGCCCCAGAATCCTTGCCTCCAAGGAGCAGCCTGGTTTAACCCTCTCTAGGATGAATCTGTTTGTTTTCCTAACAGTCCATGGTACATTCAATACACTTCTCCAGCACCACAGCTCAAAGGCATCAACTCTCCTTCTGTCCTCCTTGGTCATTGTCCAACTCTCTGATGCATAACAAGTGATTGCAAAGACCATGGCCTGTATCAGACGCACCTTAGTCTCCAGAATGACACCATTGCTCTTCAGTACCCTAGAGAAGTCAGTCTCTTAACAGCAGACTTTCCCATCGCAACAGGAAAATATATGAAAACATTATGCTCTCCTTCTCTGGCCAGTCCCTGAGTTTGCAGGTTTTTCTGAGATTTCCAGTGAACAGCAACAGAAGAGTGATGTGCTTCCTGCTGCCAGAGGCAGCACCTCATGAGGGGGGTGAAGCAGGGTGGTCCTGTTGGGACTTGTTGGGCCTCTGCTATGCATCATGGACTCTGCTGCATTTTTAACGTATTGAGGCTCCGTGGCAGCCCTGCCCAGCGAGCCCATCGGCGACAGTTTTCCAGCCCCGAGCGCTCACCTCCCGTCTCTCTATCCGTTCTCCACTTCTCACCATGTCAGGCTCCTTTCCTGTGCTCCTGCGGATAGCTGTGGTGGCCTAGTGGAAAGGAGTCGCTGTGTGTCCGGAGACACCTGGTTCAAGTCCACCAGCTGCCCTGCAAGAGAAAAAGGCACAGTTCCCTCCTGTACAGTTTGCAGCCCTGAAAACCCGCGGGAAGATGAGCTCTGTGCCCGTCCTGATTTGAAGGCACGTAGCAACAATGCGTTGTAGATTTAGGGAGCACGGGTAGCATAGTTGGTGGAGGGTTGTGCTGTCACCCCAAAGGCAGTGTTTCTGGCAGCTTGCCTCTGCGAGCTGCTCGTGGGGAGAAAGCCGGGCCTTTTCCTCCTGTGCGGTTCACAGACGTGGAGACCCGCGGAGGGCCAGCTGGGAGTCGGCTCTGACTCCACACCAATGAAATGAGATGCAGATTGAATAGACACCCCCGCCAGAAACCCTGATTTAAATCACTCAGTCACTCACTACGAGGTTAGTGGTTCAAATCCACCAGTCCCTGCGTGGGAAGAAGATGTGATGTCTCATGAAGGTTCACAGCCTGAGGAGCCCCAGGGGGCAGGTCTGCTCTGGTCCCAGGGTGACTTCTGGGGAAACCACACCGTCTCTGACTGGCTTTACTCAGCGATCACTCTGGAGCAGAGGCCCAGAGCCGGCCCTGTGGTCACCCTGAGTCTCCCTGTACTTGGGTTTCCTTCCCAGACAGCTTCCGTCTCCCATATGCAGTCCTGGCTTTCACAAGTTCACTGTACAAGGTGTCCAGTGTTTGTCCCCGCCACGCCTGCCCAGAAAAGATCACGAAGAGCATGGAAGAAGCCATCACGGAGGAGACACAGGACACAGGGTGTCCACCCAGGGGGAGGCTGAGGGATGTCTAGCAGGACAGTGCATGGGTGCATGTGGGGGTGTTTCCTAGATGGGTGTGAGGGAGCTGAGGACCCAAAGGATGTGCTTCAGGACTGAGGGGCACCCCAGATGTAAGAAGGAAAAGGTGACCCCTAGTGTGGGGACAGGGGTGTGCTCCAGGACTGAGGGGTGACCCCAAGTGTGGGAACGGGTTGTGCTCCAGGTTGAGGGGTGACCGCAGGTGTGGGGACAGGGGTTGTGCTCCAGGACTTCGGAGGTGGCCCTGAGTGTGTTCCAGGCCTGGGGGTGATTCTGAACGTGTGCTCAGAGAGGCTGCTCCAGAACTGGGGACGTCAGCCAAGTGTGGGGAGGCTGTGTGTCATCAGAGCAGGAGCCGGCAGCCCTGGGGGGGGAAGATGGCTCAGCACCAATAGGTTGGCGATTTGAACCCACCCACAGGGGCCTTGTTAGACAGGCCTGGTGGTCTCCCCCCGAGAGGTCACTGTTCTGCCCCCAGCAGCAGCAGCAGGGGAGGATGGACGGACAGTTACTCACTCCAGAGCTGCGACGAGGAGGGAAGTGTGGTCACTCATGCACGTTCCACGGGACGTGGAGTTACGTCCTGGCTGACCCACGGCGTCCGGGGCTGACCCACGGCGTCCGGGGCTGTGTGGGACACTGGCCTGAACCCTCTTTGTCCCCGGTGGAGGATCATCAGGCCGCCTCAGACACTCATATCACAAACAAATGATCCACTTTAACAGAAGATGGACATCGGAGTGGCAGCACTAGGAATGGCCGGGTCTTTGTCTCTTGGGTGGCCGTGAGGCAGCCACTCTCAGGATTTCATGGCCGATTCTTCAAGCCGGAGACCAGGTGACTTGGTGAACCATGGCCACCCTCCAGTGAGTGCACTGACATCAGGTCTGTTCTAGCTGACAGCATTCCTGAGGGACAGAGGAGACCTGCACGGGTTCCTCAGGCCGGAGCTCGTTAATGGGGGCCGTCTGCTGCGTGTCCTCTGATGAGCAGCTGGTGGTTTTGAACCCCTGACCAGTACGTGTGGAACCCACGGCAACTCTGGGTTCCTGTGAACTGTGGCGGGGTCCTGCAGGTGTGGTGTGGGGCAGCTTGGCCTGCACCCTGGCTCTGGCCCCGGTGCCTGGCAGGGGCTCTTGCTTGGCTCCACCCAGTGTCAGCGGGTGAGACTTGGCACAGTGGGGCCGTGGCACCTGAACCCAAGAGCCATGATAGCGGATGGGGGTACAGGGACACTGAGGACAGGGAATGGCGTAGAAGGGGTGCAGAGCATGAGAGTGCAGTGGACAGGGTGCCTAGGAAAAAGGGGTACAGAGGAAAGTGACATGGGCAGTGAGGGGCACAGATGGAGGGGCTTATGGAGCCTCATGTTGGCTCCCGGGCCTTCTGGGTGGAAGGGGCGCTGACAGCCCAGGACTGGATGAGGCAGTGGGGGTACAGTAACCCAGTCTGCCTTTACTCTTTGTACCATGTGCTCTGAGGTGCCCCCCAGGAGGCCAGCCACCAGGGTGAGTACTCACCCCTCAATTTTTCCCCCATGGTGTCTGCCAGCTGGTTTTGAGCCCTCGGGTGTGGCCTGTTCGTGTATCCATCCCTTGCTTCCCTCCCCCGGGGCTGATCGCCCAAGTGGGTGTAACATGAAAGCCAGGAAGCATCTACCGGGAAAGGGGTACATGGTGTAGAGGTCAGGGAGCCCTGGCAGGTGAGCACTCCTCAGGCCAGGCTGGTCTCTGCAGGCAGGGCTTGTGAGGGGCTGCTGGGCTTGGGGGCCTGGGAGCAGTGCAGAGGTCTTGAGGGGACAGGGGACACTTCATGAGCTGGGCAGAGGATTCAGGTGGTGGGTTCTGATCTCAGAGTTTCAGGTGGAGCTTGTGACCTGAATCAAGGAGGACACTCTATACCTGGGAGGATGGCCTCACAGGGAGCTTGTCCAGGTGTGTGCTGGGACGGAGCAGGGTGCTTGGTGAGGGGCCCTGCTCAGGCCTGCAGCCCCACAGAGTGGACACAGTGAGGGCTAACACCACGTGCTCAAATCACCGGCGTGCCTCGCTGGCCCGGGGATGCTGACAGCACCAGCTGTCCTATCACCCCGGCTCGAGTTCTTGTCATTTTTCTTAAGTGGAGGGGACGTTGTTGATTTTAATTGTGGACGGTGTCAGGTATATATGTGAAGGAAGTGGGTTGGGGTGCTTTCTTGAGGCCAGGATGGTGAGTGGTGTGGATGCTGTGCCCGGTCTGTCCAGCAGCCCTGGTTCCCCTCCTGCTGCCCCAGGCTGCCCCGTGGGGTGCCCAGCTGCAGGTTCTCCTGGCTCCCCGCCTCCTCCCCAGGAGCTCTTGTATGCAAGCCCTTGACGTGGCCCTGCTTGTTGAATCATCGCATTGGAACCGGCCCATAGCCCAACCTCCTGTGGGTTTTCAGCACACGGGAAGAGACTGCCCGTCTTTCTCCCGTGCAGCAGCTGGTGGACTCGAACCACATGCCTTCAGGACTGCAGCGCAGTTTCTGGGCTCCCGGAGCGCCCTTGCAGGTGGAGGTGGTTTTTACTAATTGGAGCTGTGGCAGCCCTGCGCCAAGTCGGCCTCTGGGCCTGTTTTCCCAACCACACGTGCTCACGTCCTGTCTGCAGGTCACATTTTGGTGGTTCTCACTCTGGTTCACGCCTTTTCACCAGGCTGTTGCCCACTTGGTAAAACACGCTTGAGTGTCAATGTAATGCTTCATCGCACTGGAATCCAGAAGACGCAGGCGATGTGCTTTATTGAGATTTTTCTCTCTGTGGCTGTGGGCTGGGGTGAAGCCCGCGGTCTCCCCAAAGTCTCAACTGACAGGGCCTGGCTGATCCTGGGTCAGCTGGTGTCCAGGAGCCTGTGGGCTGCATGGCCCAGGAGGGGCTCAGGTCAGGCTCTGGGCTGTTCAGCCACAACCCCTGGGCTCCTCTGCTCCCAGGACCCCTCCTGGTCCTCCCTGTCCTCGGGAGACCAGCCTCCTCACTGGACATCTATCTCCTCCAGGGACAAGCCTGCTTCAGGAGGTGGTCTACCTGGTGAGCCAGGGTGCTGACCCTGACGAGATCGGCCTGATGAACATTGACGAGCAGCTCCCCGTCCTGGAGTACCCCCAGCCTGGCCTGGACATCATCAAGGTACCCGGGGGCGGGGGGGGTGCGCAGGGACTCGGAGCTCCCATCCACCCAGGGTCAAGAAGCCTCTGGGCCACTGGGGGGTGATGCTGGGAGGAGGCCATCTGCTGGGCAGGACAAGAGATGCCTGAGGTTGAGGGGTCATTAGGGAGTCTTTGGCCTCTGTGCCCACCTCCCTTCCCTGTCCCTCACGCACAGGTCCATGATTGTATTGGGCGTTTCGTGACCAAGCCCTGTCACGTCTCTGCTGAGTCAAGGCCACTTCCCTGCCTCTCCACCCCCACTGCGGTCCTTCCCTCCGTGGCCACTAGAGCGCGCCCGGAGGCGCCGCAGGAGCAGAGACTGAGCAAAGCCCAGGCCCCTGAGCTGACCCTGTCCCCACCCCAGCATCTCTTCTGCTCAGCAACCCTTCATGTCATCACGACATTCAGACACTGTCAGGGTCCCCCCGAGCTGTCCCTGCCTCCCACCCCCAGCCTCTGTTCCTTTGCCCAGTGTCTCCCTACATGTCACTAAATCGGTCACTGTTGGGGGTCCCCCCTGAGCTGTTCCCACCCTAGCCCCTGCTGTTCTGCTCAGCACCCTGTCATGTCACTGAATCATTCAGTCAGACTCTCTGGGGCCCCAGCCAGCCAGGTCCTCTCCTGGCCTTGTGACCCAGCTCTGGGTACAGCTGACAGACTTGGTCCCTGTGGCAGTTAGAGGACATTCAGAGTAGACAGTGTTCTGGGTGGGGTACCCAGCCCCGAGGGCTCTGGGGGTCTTGAGTGGGGCACACACACCAGGCCTTTCGTGGGAACCCAGGTTGAAGGTCAACATGGAGGAGCTGGGCCTCGTGGCACCAAGGTGGCCCTGCTGGCCCTTCCCTGCATCTCCTGCTGCCTCTGTGCTCACACCCACCCACCTTAGCCCCTTCTCACTCCTGAGGCCTCTGGGCATACACCGGGGCTGACCCCGGGACCTCACCTCCTGCCCCCTCCCTGCCAGCAGGCCCTGAGGCTGGGACACTTGTGTAAAGTGTCCTCTCTGGTAACTATGCCGAGACCTCACTGCCCATCAACCTTCCTGCCGTGGTCCAGCAGGCCCTGAGGCTGGGACACTAGTACAGAGTGTCCTCTATGGAGACCCTGTCCCTGTGCTGAGACTTCACTGTCCACCCCACTTCCTGCCACGGTCCAGCAGGCCCTGAAAGGAGGCTCTGGCTAGATTGAGGACCTTTGAGGAGCCTCTGTCTTCCTGAGTCCTGGGACCTGAGAGGCTCTGATACAACCCCCTAACTAGACTAGAGTCCTCTCTGAGGCCCTCTCCTTCCTGCCCGTGGGTGTGAGAAGACCTGAGATGTCTCCACTCTGGGCCTCCCCCTCTGTCCTTGCAGGAGCTGACATCACCCCGTCTCATTAAGAGCCACCTCCCCTACCGCTTCTTGCCCTCCGACCTCCACAACGGCGACTCCAAGGTGAGCCTCCCGTCCACTGTGAGTGTCCGAGCAGGGGGACCCCATAACTGCCCGGTCCAGGCAGCCAGCCTTCACTCAGTCCGCATTGTCTGAGAACCCGGGTGCTGGGAGAGCCATCTGGGCACAGCATCGCACACGAGTGTTAGCTTGCGCTTGGGCTCACGCGGCCTAAGCCCTGTGTGTGCTGAGTCGCCCGGGCCTCCTGCCACTGCCCCCGTCTCATGGTCTCTCCCCCTTGTCGCCTTTATGAGGCCTGGGCACTCACTAGGAGTTCGGCAGATTAAGTCCCCGCTGCCAGCCTAGAGGTTGGTAGTTCCAGTCCTCAGCTTCTCCACGGAGCTGGATGGACATTCTTCTCCTGCAAAGACTTCCAGCCCCAGAACCCCCTGGAGTGGGCGTCGGCTTGAGGTAGTGGGTGGCTCTTTTGGCTTATGCTCTCATCCGGGGCCCTGGGTGCAGTGGATTAGCTGTTGGGCTGCTAACCAAAAGGTTGGCAGTTTGAATCTCCCAGCTGCTGTGCGGCGGGGAAGCTGAGGCAGTGTGCAGTGCGGTTCCGTAAAGATTACAGGCTCGGCAGCGCTTTGGGGGTGTTCTTGTCTCTGCCTTCCTGTGACCCTGCAGCCACCCCAAAGACAGTGGGTTTTCTGCCCTCAGCACCTGTATCTGTCATAATTTTTCTGCCTCCCACTGATTTTAAGGTAGTAATAAACCACACCATATCACTGTCACTGAGTTAATTCCAACTACCTGCTGGGTTTCTGAGCCTGTAAATCATGATGGGAACAGACTGAGTCATCTTCCTGCAGGAGCTGCTGCTGGATTTGAACCACCAACCTTCTGGTTGCCCTAGTCGGCCCAAGGCCTCCTGCTTCCTTCAGGTTGACAGTCAGGTCCTTAACCCAGCGTGCCACCAGGACTCCTTAAAGTAGTCCTAGCAAAGTCAGTCAGTGGAGCTGACCCAGCAAAGCCCCGTGTGAGGAGGGGACCAGCACTCCCTGCTGGGCGCGCTGAGGGCTGGGGAGCCGGGAGGGGCGCGGACTGACCGTCCCTCGCACACAGGTCATCTACATGGCCCGCAACCCCAAGGACCTGGTGGTGTCCTACTACCAGTTCCACCGCTCCCTGCGCACCATGAGCTACCGCGGCACTTTCCAGGAGTTCTGCCGGAGGTTCATGAACGACAAGCGTGAGTGTGGGGCCAGAGAAGGAGGGGTGGTCTGCGGGTCTGCTCCCCGAAGAGAGCCCTGGAAATGCTGGGCTCTGCTCTGCCCCCGGCCGTGGTGAGGTGGGGTCCTCCGGGCTGTGGCCGGTTTTGGTTTGGGTCAGCGCTGGTGCCTTCTGTCCACGTCAGCGACCTCTGAGCCTTCCAGTCACATAGGCTAGGCTTCCCGGGACGGCTGAGGAGGCCATGACTCCGGAAGGTTCCAGAAACTTAGTAGTATCGCTCAGGGTAGGCAAGCTCGCCTGATCTTGCTGCTTTCCAGGGACTCCCCTGTGAGTCGTCAGGGGCGGGGGGTGGCACATGGAAGCAGTGAGCATGGGGCCCCCTTGTCACCACTGCTAGTGGCAGAGACACTAGTGCAGGTGGGGGCTGGGTGTGGAGCAAAGGTGGTCTGGACCCCACCCCGGTGCCCGTTGGTGGAGGGGATCCCACCAGGTTCTCACCTCTGCCCAGCCTGCTGGTCCCCAGTCATGGGTGGGCGCGGTCTCAAGAGCCCTAGGCTTCCCCTGTGACCACTCAGGGTGGACAGAGGCTGTTCACCTTCCCCTTGCCCCTCGTTGGAGCAGGACATGCTGCTTTTCACCTGGTCCTGCTGGCCTTCCCCGTGGGCGTGGTGCTGGCTGCCTGTCAATGGCTTTGGCCCCACCTTCCTGGGGACACTTCCCATTGGAAACTGGCCTTTTTAGGCAACTTTGAGATTCCCAGAGTGTGGTTTAGAGGTCGTACCCAGAGCAATTTGGAAGTGGGAGGAACGCAGCCCTGCTATAAACCTGCTTTTAGCAGCAGACTCCAGTTCATTCGTCATTAAGCCATGCCTACAAGTCCAGTTCAGTGCCCTGGTGGTCTAATGGGAGTGTTGTGCTGCCAACCCAGAGGCACACGGTTCAACTCCATCCGCTGCTCCATGCAAGAAAGATGGGCAGTGTCCTGTCATGTGACTCACAGCCTCTGAAGACGTGCGGGAGGTCAGCTGTGATGCCCTAATAGCACATGCCACCACAAGTCCAGTTCAGTGAGTCGGTTACACCCTGCCGTTTTCTGCCAGTTCCCTCTGTTAGTCCTATTCACCACCCCCGAGAACCACCTTTAATCTTGGGGAGCTGCTACCAGCTTGGCCTGTTCAGACAGAGCTTACTTAGATGAGCCCGGGGTCCAAGCAGCCCCTCGTCTCTAGAGCAGCTGAGCCCACCCTCTTTGGAGAGACTCCAGGATTGCTTTGGGGTTAAGGTGGAAGATGATCTTGGGGCACTGGTTTCCGGGGTGTGTCCAGCCTCCATGGCCACTGGTATCTCTTCTAGTTGACAGTACTCAGCTGCGTCCAAGGTGCCACGTTCAGCTCTTCAGACAGAACGTGAGGCAGGTTAATGAGGACAAATGCAGAAGGCCGACCAGGAGGAGGGTGCCCACAGACCTTGAATTTAGAATGGCCCCACCAGAGCTGCCTGCCTGGGCCAGGTGGGGTCAAGACCATCCTCCTGCGCTGGTCCATGTCCACAGGGGCCAAGCCAGGAGAGACAGAGGGCCTGAAGGTCTCTTCCTGCTCTGAGCCTGGGTCTGCTGGGCCCGTTGAGGATGGCCCCCCACAGCCTTGGTCCACTAGAGCGTGTCCACAGGGGCCAAGCCAGGAGAGACAGAGGGCCTGAAGGTCTCTTCCTGCTCTGAGTCTGGGTCTGCTGGGCCCATTGAGGATGGCCCCCCACAGCCTCTGTCCGGTCCCTACCCATGCAGCAGACCCTCCATGCGCTGCCTGAGACTGAGAGCAGCCCTCCCGCAATCACGTTTCCACAGGGCTGGTTCAGGACGGTTCTGCCCCTTCCGATACACGTGAGGCACGTGCTTGCATGTGCGTTGCCTAGCAGCCGAGCCTGCTGCCCTTGGTGTTTTGGTCCTCACAGCTGCCAGCATCAGAGTTGGTCGTCCTACCCACCAGCCGCTAGTGATGGAGCTGTTTTGACTCTGTCTGATTCCAGGGTTTTCAAAACCACTTTCTGAAGTGCAGGCTGCCCTCCTGGCCCTGTAAAGGCAGCTTCTACCTGAAAACAGTGCCATCAGGTTCCTGGGGCACCAGGACTGTCCAGGTCATCCATCTCACAGTCCCTGGCCGCGTCCCACACATAGCCAGGTCCCACTCTTATCATTTCCTCAGCACAGCCTGAGTCTGTGCCTCTTAGGACCCATGAGGGTTGCATTGTGAGACTCGACGTGACCTGTCCACTAAGGCAGGGCGTCAGACGGGGTCAGAGGCTCCTTACCCAGCACATCCTGGCTGAATTCTCCGAGCGTGTTTCCTCTTCTCTCATCTCGCCCCCGTGTAGTCACCCTCCGTCCAGGGTGGTAGTGAAATGCAGGGGTCCTGGGTGGCCTGGGAGGGCAGTGAAGTGCTGGATGGCAAACCAAAGGTCAGTTGTTAGAAGCTACCAGTTTCCCCTCAGAGGACGAAAAGGCGTTCAGCTTCCTGAATATTCACACCGTGGAAAGCGTGGGGCCTTCTCTGTCCTGTGGGGTTGCGAGTCTGAATCGGTTTCTCAGCAGTGACCCTGGTTTTGTCAGTCTTTATGGTCGAGGAGCCGCTGTGCATGGTGGCACCAGGCTGGGACCAGGTCTCCTGGGAGGGTGAGGGCCCCACTTCTCCCTGTCCCAGCAGCAGGACCAAGACTCATTCTCTGTGCCCGGTGGGACTTCTGTGGTAGAATCTGCTGTCCTGTTCCTGCTCTAACCCTCCCACAGTACCCCAGGGATGCCATGTGCATGGGCAGATGTTCCTTCTCTGACCAGTCCATGCAGACTCGGGGCCTGCCCAAGTCCTGCTCTCCCGTTCACCTGTAACCACCGCACCTTGGGAGGGTTGTGACCAGGTCTCCTCTGTGGGAGGTGGGAGCACAGGGAAGCTGGCAGCAGGACACCCCTGGATCCGCCTTGTTGAAGTCACCATTGTCCTGAGTCCTCCCCCCAGCAGCATGCTCACAGGCCAGCGTGCACTGCTATGATGGAGGTCAAGGAGTTCTGGAAAAAGGGCCCCGCGGTGTTGACGTGGACGGAGCACCACTCACCTCCTTGGAGTTCACACACCCCACATGTTCTGGTGTGACCTTCCGTGTGACCCATCACTCTTACATTGACCTAGAGCCCTGCCTGTGTGTGTGACCTCACGATGACCTGGGACCCTGCCCGTGTGACCTCATGATGACCTGGACCTCGACTGTGTGACCTCACGATGACCTGGGACCTCGACTGTGTGACCTCACAATGACCTGGGACCTTGACTGTGTGACCTCACATTGACCTGGGGTCCTGCCTGTGTGTGACCTCATGTTGACCTGGGATCCTGCCTGGGTGACCTCACATTGACCTGGGGTCCTGCCTGTGTGTGTGACCTCACGATGACCTGGGACCTCGACTGTGTGACCTCACGATGACCTGGGACCTTGACTGTGTGACCTTACATTGACCTGGGGTCCTGCCTGTGTGTGTGACCTCACGATGACCTGGGACCCTGCCTGGGTGACCTCAGTGTTGACCTGGGACCTCGACTGTGTGACCTCACAATGACCTGGGACCTTGACTGTGTGACCTCACATTGACCTGGGGTCCTGCCTGTGTGTGTGACCTCATGTTGACCTGGGACCCTGCCTCTCTCTGTGACCTCACGTTGACCTGGGACCCTGCCTCTGTGACCTCACGTTGACCTGGGATCCTGCCTGGGAGACCTCAGCATTGACTTGGAGCCCTACCTGTGTGTGTGACATTGACCTGTGACCCTGCCTGGGTGACCTCAACATTGACCTGGGACCCTGCCTGTGTGACCTCATGTTGACCTGATGCCCTGCCTATGTGACCTCACATTGACCTGGACCCTGCCTCTGTGTATGACCTCACGATGACCTGGGACCCTGCCTGGGTGACCTCCCATTGACCTGGGACCCTGGCTGTGTGTGACCTCATGTTGACCTGGGACCCTGCCTGTGTGACCTCACGTTGACCTGGGGCCCTGCCTGTGTGTATGACCTCATGATGACCTGGGACCCTGGCTGTGTGTGACCTCATGTTGACCTGGGACCCTGCCTGTGTGACCTCACATTGACCTGGGACCCTGCCTGTGTGACCTCATGTTGACCTGGGGCCCTGCCTGTGTGTATGACCTCACGTTGACCTGGGGCCCAGCCTGTGTGTATGACCTCACGTTGACCTGGGGCCCTGCCTGTGTGTATGACCTCATGTTGACCTGGGACCCTGCCTGGGTGACTCTCAGCTGACCCATGTCTCTCAGGTTGGTCTGTGACTCTCACATTGACCTTTCTCATTCAACCTCATGTTGACCTGTGACCCTAACTGTGTGGCTCTTGCTGACCTGTGGCCCCCGTTGATCTTGCCCATGGGACCTCGTGTTGACCTGGAATCCCGCTTGTATGACTCTTAACCTGTGACTCTCACATTCACCTTGCCCACGTGACTGTCCATTGGCCTGTAACTTTTGGGTTGACCTGGGGCCCTGCCTGTGTCCTGTTGTCTGTGGACTCCCATGCTGTGGACCTCCCTGAACCTCTCACCCCAAGCCTGCCCACCAGGCTTGCTGGTCACCATCTCTGGGCATTTGCTCTTCAGATAACCACTTGTTAAGCAGCTAATCCCATGGACACGATTGAGACCCCATCCAGGTGCCAGCCTGACCCACAGGGTAATAGGCTTTTGGGCGCCACGGTCAGGTCTTCACGGGGTCCAGAGAGGACCGGGTGGGGAGTCTGTAGGTACAAGGTTCCTCAGAACACAGTGGGGTCAGATGGCAACCTCCTGGTCATCTGGGAGACTGAGCCCGGCCCAGCACTTCTCCTTCCCCTCGTTGACTCATGGCTGTCCTTCTGAAGGCCGCCAGGCAGCGGGATGAAGCTGGGCCCGCCCTGTGCCACCCTCACCTCCACCGTGTGACACACCTGTCCCCTTGCCTCCACAGTTGGTTACGGCTCCTGGTTTGAGCACGTGCAGGAGTTCTGGGAACACCGCATGGACTCCAATGTGCTTTTCCTCAAGTACGAAGACATGCATCGGGTGAGTGGGGTGATGCTGCATCTGCGGGGACTCAGCTGTCCCCCTGCTGCTGGGCTGCACCTCCCCCCCCCCCGCCAGGCTGCTTCTGGGGGTCCTGGCGTTCCTCTGACTCAGAACACCACTGCTGCCCTGAGGTCCCAGCTGGACACGTGCCTGTTGTAGACAGGTCCACCTCCTGCACTGGGCATTGACTGGGTACCGTAGACCATCATTGTGTCCAGACAGGCTGGAGCTCCTCCCTCTTATGCCCGGTGTCTGTTTCCCAGACCCTGTTAGCTTGTCTGATCCTTTCTCTCTCCCTGGACCTTGTTCTCACAGGCCAGGCCAGTGGGCAGTGTCCAGGACCTCCCCTCACCCAGGCCAGGCCAATGACATCAGCTCCCTCTTTTAATATTGTAATACAGTCAGGCAACTTCCAGCCTGTAGGGTAAGGGTTCTCTTTAGAAGAAAGCTGCACACGAACATGGAAGCAGAGTCAGGAGAGGGTCCCGCACAGCTCCATGTCCCCGGGGAGATGTGTCCCCTCCCGTGTCCCCAGGACACTTGGCCGTTCCGAGAGTGGAGCCTTTACTCTCCAGCCCAGAAGCTCTGGGAGACTCCCCTTCCGTGGCCTCCTGCTCTGTCAGCACTGAGCCCAGTGACCCCTCCTGGTCAGTAACCCCTCCCTGGCCAGCACCCCTCCTTGACTGATCAGCCTCCCCTTTGACCTCATGGGTGGACCTTCTCAAGAACCAGGACAGAGGCCTGGTTGCTGACTGCAGAGGGTCCCCGCCTCACAGCACTTTCCTGTTTCTACCTGTGTGTTCCTTTCTGGAACGTTCTTCCAGCACGCACATGAGTCACTCCTCCTGCACCTTGCCTGACCCCAGGGACAGCAGCTCCCTTCTCACCCCATGCCTGTTGCCCATCTGGCCAGAGCTGGCATTCACGAGGCTCAGAAGCTGTGGCTAGTGTGTGCTGCCCAATCTTCAGAACACTCAGCCAGGGTATGGGCTTTAAGCCGTTCAGTCAAGTGCGTGTGACTTTTAGATCACCTGCTACATCTCTTCATGCAGCCCAGCCCTGAGAGACTGGCCAAGGACTGGCCAGGCCTGCCCACGGCTGAGGCCTCCCTCACATCACCCCACGGGGCTTTGGTTTCCAAGCAGGCTCAGGCCGGCCTGCTCTCGGGTTCCTGTTGGGGTGCCCAGGAGAGCCTGTCTCCCCTCCTGTCACATACCTGCTCTCACCCTGTCTTCCAGGACCTGGCTACGATGGTGGAGCAGTTGTCACGCTTCCTGGGGGTGTCCTGTGACAAGGCCCAGCTGGAGTGCGTGACCGAGCACTGCCACCAGCTGGTGGACCAGTGCTGCAACGCCGAGGCCCTGCCTGTGGGCCGGGGTATGCCTGCCCACCTGTGCTCCTGGTCCCTGTCCCTCAGCACTCAGCTGTCCCCGGCCCATTCCTCAGGTCCCCATGTTCACTGTGTCAGGACTGGGGCCCCGTGTTCACGGTATCAGGACCGGGTGCTGGTAGCACCACGGAGCACGGGCAGTGCAGCTGGTGGGCTGTGGATGGTGGCTACACGCTGTGAGGCCGCCTGAAAGCCTGAGCCTGCAGACACCCAGGACTCTTGTCAGGCCCAAGGACTAGGCAGGCCTTCCCTGCTGGCCCACAAAAACCACAACTAGGGCATTTTCAGAAGCGTGTCCCTGCAGAATGTGGAACCATGACATTTCAGAGTGGAGAGCAGGCCCAGAGCCTGGGGCTGGCTTTGAGGGTGGGGAGCATCTCCACATGGGGAAGCTCTGTCTTCGCACCTTCACCCACAGATCAAGAGTGCCCAGCCCAGGGGGGTGAGGGTGTGCAGAGGGCTAGGGGAGACCGTGGTACAGAGTCCTGCACAGAGTTGCATAGATAAAGGGGGAAACAGAGAACTGATGAAGACCAGGTGCGCAGAGGGCTGGGGGAGACTGGGGTGCAGTGTACAGAGAGGGACCAGAGTGCATAGAATGCCCGTGGCTCACGGGGGTCAGGCAAGCACTAAGGGTGTGGCCTTATGGGGTGACTGTGTGGGCATGAAGTATTTCCAGTGGTGGTGACATTGTCCAGGTCAGAATTGGGTCCACACCCGTCCAGGGCTTGCTCTCTGCCCCTAGGGCTCACGGTGTTTGAAGCCGCTCCGTGGAAGGCTCAGACCCTGTGTGCCAAGGTGGCTTCTGGCCACCCAGCCACCCTCTCAGGAAGCAGAGGTGCACCCCTGAGCGGTCCTCAGGTGGTGAGCGTGTGAGGAGGACGGTGTAAGATGGGGGCACCTTGCCCACGATGGAGAGCTGCGATTGCCCCAGACCTGACAGCTGAACTATGACTCAGGGCGTCCTGGGAGGGGGGCACTGAGTCCTTCAGCTCTTTCCTGCCTGTGAGGATGGAGCCTCCCTCCTCCCCAGGACGGAAGGGTGCTCTGTGGGCCCCCGGGGAGGTGCCAGCCACAGCCAGCGGGGCAGTTCTTTGAGGGAGAAGTGAGCGAAACCAACATGCTTGGTGGTCTAGTCCCTGACTGCATCTTCACAAGTATTTATTATTTGGCATTTGTTTGCTCTTTTTTGAGTTTTGCTTTCTCTGTTTTGTTGACCCTGCCTGTGACACCCCTCCCTCCCTGGAGCACCCCGCCGTTCATGCGTGGCACGGAAGCGTCGAGGACATCCCGTGGGCCCATCTGTTCCTCCAGTGTTGCTTTATCCCCGTGTCCTTCGGTTTTGCTTTATTTCCGTTCTTGGTTTTGTTTCTTTTAGCACATTGCCTCTGTGCTCGGAAGACCTCCTGCGTTGCGGGGAATGCAGGGGCCTGAGCAGCAAGCCACATTGCTTAAGTTTCGTTCATGTCACCTCATACATTGCACTGTCTTGAGTCCAAACCCTAAACCAGGTAGGTGACTCCTCGGACGAACGCCTCAGCTGAGGAAAAGGACCAGGGAAAACCTGATGGCCTCAGAGCCTGCTTGCTCCACAGGCGCCCGGCTTTGTCCCTTGGGCCTCGCCAGGGGCCAGTACGAGGCTGACCCCTCTCTGGTTACCCTCCCCAGCCCTGGCAGATGGCTTTTCATCACCAGTGTCCTGTCAGTATCCCCTGGCTGGTCAGTGCACACGGGCTGTGCTCTTCTCCCGAGGTCCTGCCTCCGGGGAACTGGGTGGCAGCCAGAAGGGCAATCGGCAGACAGTCCTGAGGATGCTGACGGGGAGGCCAGGCAAGCGGTCATTTAGGAGCTGGGGACGGAGCTCAGGGCACATGCTCCCGGCACGGGGGCTCCCACCAGCAGCAGCGAGGCAGCTCTGGCCCTCGCTCTGTGGCAGTTGTTGAGTGCACCTAACTCCTGGCCCGGAGCTTGCCTGGACAGGCATTCTGGACATGTCCACCCCTGACCTGGTCGTGTGAGCTTCCCAGTCGCCGCAGAATCCTCTGCCTTTTGGGTATTTTTGGTTTGGTTTGATTTTTCCTTTGCTTCTTTGTTTTGTTTTTTTTTTTCATTCTCCATAGCAGATGCAGTTTGGGGGAGCTGTTGGGCGGGGTCTGAGTAAGCAGAGGTGTCCCAGGGATAGTAATCACCGGGCAGGTGGCGTCCAGCCCTGAGGCACTAGCCTTGCAGTGCATTCCCTCCTTCCCTGGCCTCTGGCCACTGAATACATGACCAGTACTAGGAAGGGGCTGCCACTCCCAGACCTTCAGCCTCTGCCCACCACACCCTGCTTCTTCACCAACTCTGGGGGCTGGTGGAGCTGTGGTTCATGGCCTGTGGTCGTGTCTGGGGGCTCAGGAGTCCATCTGCAGGCGCCTGGGCCCTGACTCTGTGCGTCTGTGTTGCAGGCCGAGTGGGGCTGTGGAAGGACATCTTCACCGTGTCCATGAGCGAGAAGTTTGATTTGGTTTACAAGCAGAAGATGGGCAAGTGTGACCTCTCCTTTGACTTCCACTTGTAGAACCGGAAGGGCCAGCTTGCATGCTCACCACACCCAGATACTCTCCTTGCTATGTCCCGTCTGCATCCACTCACTGCTGGCCACCAGACAGCCGGGGGCAGTGCGAGGAGAAGCTCCCGGAGCCCGCGCTGTCTGCCCGCGTGGTTACCACCCACGTCCAGTTACAGCCATGATGGACTGTGCCCCGAGTGTCCAGTATGTCCCCTGTGCCGCTAGATGTGCCCCTCCACGGCCCCCACGACCTCTGTATTCCATAGGGCTGTCCTCTGGAAATGAAATAAACGGCAGTAAACCACACGCAGGCTCTTTGCCGGGGCCTCGGGAACGAGCCACTTGGTGGTGGGAAGACATCGCAGGTGGCAGGTTGATTTTCCACTGTCCCCGCCTGAGGCCCAGCCGGGCTTTTGCCTGGTGGCTCTGAGATGAGGCAGCAGAGAAGTTTGGAGGGTGGTGTGGCAGGGTGGCAGGTTCTGACAGAGCCCAGTTCTTTGTAACTTCCTGGAGCGAGGCCGAAGCTGACCACCAGCACATGTCCAGAGATGTCCATCGGCAAGAGGCTCCGTGGGCGGTTCTGATGCCGAGAAGGCCTCGGAACATCCTCCAGGGACGCACGCCTGAGTCCTGCAGGCGGCAGTGTGATTCCTCCGTGGGGTTTGCACGCATGACAGGAGTCGACTGCAGACCCTGGATCACCCTCGGCGGCTAGTTCAGCCCCCACGCCTGTCTCGGCTTCCGAAGCAGTGACCCTTCTGTGACTGGTGGATATGTGTGTGATGGTGAATTCCTCAGCCCGGCTGGTCCCTGAGAACAGTTTGCAGATTGAACACCAGGGCTCGCTGTTCTCTGTCCCGCTCTGTGTGTCTCCTCCGGTCACCTCTGCGGGGGGCCTGAGGTGACATCCTCAAAGCCCCACCCCCTGCTGTCACTCTGCCCTGGCCAGGAGGGGCTGGCCGGCTTCTGTGTGCGTGGCTGGAGTGCAGGGAGAGTGGCCAGGGATTGGGGCCGGCTGCTTTCTGTGAGGGCTGCAAAGGCTGGTGGTCGTGTGCACGGGAGCTGGGACGCAGGGGCGTGGCCGTGCATGGGGCTTGGAGGGCGGGAGCCAGCCTGCTTTGTGCCAGATTTTGTTTCTATTTTTCTATTTTTAGTACTGTGTGGATGTCCTCCACGCTCCACTTCTGTGCTTGCCTGCATCTGTAATAAAGAGGCCTTCCTGCACTGTGTGGTGTGTGTGCTGGGAGCTGAGCCAGGGGCCCCACCCAGGGCGCATCCCCCTCCAGCAGGCACCCCATCCCTGGGTGCAGCGGGCCCTGGGAGGTGTCCAGCGTCTGCCATTGTCCTCCCTCCCAGGCTCTGCACGGGTTCACGTCCCGTCCCATGTTCTCCAAATGTACCGGAGGAGTGGACATTGACCATCCAGCGTGTCTGCTGCCTTCCGTTCACCCTCCACAGGGACGGGGGCAGTGCTGAGGGCGGGAGGGACTGGCTTGCTCAGGCTTCCCCACATCCCGGTGGCCTGGACCAGATGTCCAAATGCAGTGAGGCCACTGGAGGCGCTCCGGTGCTGGTGACCCCAGGATGAGCACAGACGGCACTTGCCCTGTAAGACCCTTCTACGTGTGAGGGGTCACGAGCGCCCACCTGCCTTAGTGCCGTTGGCATTCTGGTGAGACACGACACCACGTCATGGGACTCTGCTGAGCTGTGCTGCTGACCAAGAGGCTGCCATCTCCAGTGGTTCAAATCCCCCGGCAGCTGCTGTAGGAGAAGGATGAGCCGTCCCCCCCATGACGATGGACAGTGTGGGCACCTAGTGCCCGGGCCGCATGCATCATGAGTCAGCTTGAGGGCCAAGGGCTTGGGATTTTAGGGTCAGTGTAGAGGAAACCAGGAGGCCATGTCTGCAGAGGGCTGGGGGCTGATGATAGGTGGCCCCTGGGGAGGGGTGGGGGCCTGGGGGCTGACCAGGATGGTGAGGTGGCCCCTGGGGAGAGGTGTGTCCCTGTAGTGGTCTGGGGGCTGATGAGGATGGTAAGGTGGCCTTTGGGGATGGTTCTGTCCCTGTACAGGTCTGGGGGATGATGAGGATGGTAGGGTGGCACCTGTAGGGGGCTGGGTGCTGACCAGGATGGTAAGGTGGCCTTTGGGGAGGGGGGTGCACATGGAGGGGCAGCTCCCTTGAACGGTGTTTGGACAGAGGCTCCCTCCTTGCCTGCACCCCTCACTCCCCACTTCCTTAACCCTCTGCGGATGGTGGTGAATTGTGACTTGTTCCGTGGGCATTTCCGTGGACAGACATTCTCTGAAACAGCCCCCTCTACAAGGCCTTGTCGCAAGTTTAGGCGTAACAGTGGGGTAACCTGTGTGACGCTTCCTGCCCCTAACACCTACCCTGACCCCTAAACTCTGCAGCGGTTGTGAATAAAGCCCCATTACTGTGGAGTGGAGCGGATCCCGACTTGAAGGGCAGGAGGCGGACAGAGCGGAGTCAGTCTGCGGGGCATCCGAGGCTGGAATGGTCACGGGAGCAGATGCCAGGGTTTCTCCGGCAGAGAAGACTGGATTCGGGGCACCAGCCTTTCAGTTAGCAGCCTACTATTTAATCACTGAGCCTCTGGGGCACCACTCAAATCTGGTGCCCAGAGAACAGCCGAGGCTCCCCACCTTCCTCCACCCCCAGCTCTTCCTGGGCATGCGCTGAGCTCTGCTCCAGGACCACACCGGTCCCAGAAACCTGTCCCTTCCAGGCCCGCCCACAGCCCTCCCCCCACTCCGTGGCCCTGCCGTCACTTGTGACCCATGACCACGTGGAAGACAGCTGGCTTCTGAAGTCCTGGCTTGGTGTGGATGCCCCTAAGGCTTCTGGTCAGTTACAGGCAGTTACATCCAGTCAGCTCCTGCTCCTGTTAACCTGTAGCAGAAGAAAACATGGGATCCTGTTGCAGCTTCATTGTCCCCGGTGCGTCTGAGCGCATTGCTGCAGGTACTGTGCCGGTCCTCGGGGTGAGGAGTGGGAGATCATTCTCTCTGACCGACAGCTCTATCCAGCACGACATCCTCTTCTAGCAGAGGGGTCTTTCCTGATGAGTCCATAGCAGGTGAGCCAGTGTCCACTCTCTGGGGGGCCGTCTGGTGGTGGTCTCTCTGGACGCACTTGTTTGTGCTCCTGGCACTCAGCGGTACATTACATACTCGTTACCAACACCATTATTTAAATTCATCGGTGGCTCTGCCTTTTTCATTGCCCAGCTTTCCATGCACTTACGGAGGTTGGGAAGGCCCCGGCTCAGGCCGGGTGCGCCTTGTGGCAGAGCGAACCCTCTGGTACCTGCACCAGAGCGATGCTCGGACACAGCACTTCCACACCAGACGGAGGTGGGCCCGGCCGGGGGTGGGCACTGCGGGGGCTCTAAGCCAAGGGGAGGTGGAGCACCTGCTTCATGGGAGAAGTGGGCTTCGAGCAGGGTCTGACATCACTGAATGTCGATGGGACGGAGCTGAGGCAGGAAGGTTCCCTGTGAGGTCTGTGCAGGTGCCTCTGACTCAGTGACCCTCCTGGATATGATCGAAGGAAGCACTGCCCGGTCCTGACCATCCCCACTGGCCTTGGGCCAGCGCTGCGGGTACTGTGCCATCAGTCTCAGTGATGCAATTCCTCCTCTGATACTTGAGAAGTTTAATGTCCTGCAGAGACCAGGCCCTCCTGATCACATGTCCAAACTCCGTGAGATGGAAGTTAGACACCCTCACTTCTGAGGGGCTTCCTGTGCCTTCCAAGACATGAACTCACAGTAAACGAGCAAAAAAGGCCTTTCATGCCTGGAAGATGGGGCTTCTGAGCTAAGATCCCTGCCCTGCCGTCTCTGAAGGACACTGGGGGAGCCTCTGTTTTCCCCCTCATGAAAAGGCCACGTCTTGACATTCCACTGCAGCTCGAACATTCTGACTCTTGAGTGTGGTGGCGTCATTGCCTGTAGATAGATTGTTCATCTCTGGAGAGGAGCTGGAGGGTGGGGACGGATGGTGGGGTCATGGGTGGGGTGGTGACAGACCTCGCCAGCCGGGGCAAAGAGAATTCATCACAGAACCACCTGTCACCCTGTCCGGGCCTCCAGTCCCCGTCTCCAAGGCGCACCGAGCCAGTGCCAAGTCCAGACATTAAATGACAATTTGATTCTCACACTTGGATCCCTGTGAGCTCGTTGGCACGGAGCGTCTGAGTCTCAGTCCTTAAATCTGTCTTCTCACCACTGAGGAAGCGAATCTGTGCTCTATTAAAAGCACTCGCACAAAGCCAGGGAATGCAAAACGTGTTTAAAAAAAATCAAAACCAAGCAGAAAATGAGTTTTCTCCTCTTTGAAGCTGTCATCGTTACACAAATCCATGGAATTGGGCACCAGCTGGGAGTAGAAGTCTTAAAATACCACAAACGAGGCCATTTCTGCCAGAGGAACGAGCCCAACAAAGCCAGCACACGTCTTTCCAGTCTCTACAGCCTCAGAAACTCAGATGAACTTGTTCAAAGCCATTTTCTTTCCCGGTTGTTTTGTCTCTGTTCTCTTTACAATCTTTGTTGCTGTTGTTGTTGTGTGCTGTCAAGTCCGAATCAGCCCACAACTGCCCCGTCCAGCGGCTTTTCCAAGGCAGTAAATCACACGAGAGGAGACCTTTCCACGCGGAGCAGCTGGGGGACTTGCTCTCTGGGTCGGTAGCACAGCCCCTTACCGCGAGGCCACCAACACTATTGTTACAGTTACAAGAGAACAGACAGACATGTCTTGGAGAGGGTGCAGCCAGAGTGCTCTTTGGAGGCAAGAATGACGAGGCTTTGCCGCACATCCTTTGGGCATGTTGCTGGGAGGGGCTGTTCCTTGGAGAGGGACATGATGCTGGGAAGGGTGGAGGGTTAGCAAAGGAGAGGAAGACCCTCAACCAGGTGGACTGACACAGTGACTGCTGCAATGGGCTCTTGTGTGTCAGGAAGTGAGAGGATGGCATGGGATAGAAGAGGTTTCGGATATTTTTGTTCATAGGGTTGCTAAGGTTTGTACTTGACTGGATGACACCTCACCACCAC